GTCATAACTTTCCTTCCAAGGAGTAAGCGTCTTTTAATTTCATGGCTGCAATCACCATCTGCAGTGATTTTGGAGCCCATAAAAATAAAGTCAGCCACTGTTTCCCCTTCTATTTGCCATGAAGTGATGGGACCAGATGCCATGATCTTAGTTTTCTGAATGTTGAGCTTTAAGCCAACTTTTTCACTCTCCTCTTTCACTTTCATCAAGAGGCTCTTTAGTTCTTTTTCACTTTCTGCCATAATAGTGGTGTCATCTGCATATCTGAGGTTCTTGATATTTCTCCTCAGTCTTGATTCTAGCTTGTACTTCTTCCAACCCAGCGATTCTCATGATATACTCTGCATATAAATTAAATAAGCAGGGTGACAATATACAGCCTTGATGTGCTCCTTTTCCTATTTGGAACCAGTCTGTTGTTCCATGTCCAGTTCTAACTGTTGCTTCCTGACCTGCATATAGGTTTCTCAAGAGGCAGGTCAGGTGGTCTGGTATTCCCATCTCTTTCAGAATTTTCCACAGTTTATTGTGATCCACATAGTCCAAGACTTTGGCATAGTCAATAAAGCAGAAATAGATGCCTTTCTGGATCTCTCTTGCGTTCCCAATGACTCAGCGGATGTTGGCAATTTGATCTCTGGTTCTTCTGCCTTTTCTAAAACCAGCTTGAACATCTGGAAGTTCACAGTTAAAGTATTGCTGAAGCCTGGCTTGGAGAATTTTGAGCATTACTTTACTAGCGTGTGAGATGAGTGCAATTGTGTGGTAGTTTGAGCATTCTTTGGCATTGCCTTTTTTTGGGATTGGAATGAAGACTGACCTTTTCCGGCCCTATGGCCACTGATGAGTTTTTCAAATTTGCTGGCATATTGAGTGCAGCACTTTCACAGTACCATCTTTCAGGATTTGAAATAGCTCAACTGGAATTCCATCACCTCCACTAGCTTTGTTCGTAGTGATGCTTCCTAAGGCCCACTTGACTTCACATTCCAGGATGTCTGGCTCTAGGTGAGTGATCACACCATTGTGATTATTTGGGTCGTGAAGATCTTTTTTGTACAGTTCTTCTGTGTATTCTTCCCACCTCTTCTTAATATCTTCTGCTTCTGTTAGGTCCCTACCATTTCTTTCCTTTATTGAGCCCATGTTTGCATGAGATGTTCCCTTGGTATCTCTAATTTTCTTGGAGAGATCTCTAGTCTTTCCCATTCTGTTGTTTTCCTCCATTTCTTTGCATTGATCACTGAGGAAGGCTTTCTTATCTCTCCTTGCTATTCTTTGGAACTGTGCATTCAAATGGGTTTTTTCAAGCCAGTATCTAATTAAGGGGCACACAATTCTCCCCATCTGCTAATCTGGAACATCACTTTATTTCCTAAGTTATTAAGACACTGAAACCCTTTGAAAGTTCTTCTTAGTGGATTTTTCTTGTTGCTTCTTCATAGTCACCTTGGTAGCTTCAGGTACAACAAATTTTTTCCATCTTTCCAAACTGAAACTCTACTCATTAAACACTATATCCCTATTTTCCTCCCCTCTCCAGTACTTGGCAGTACCATTCTTCTTTGTTTCTCTCTGAATTTGACTATTTTAGGTACCTCATATATTGGATTCACACAATACTGGTCTTTTTGTGAATGGCTTATTTCACTTAGCTTTGTATCTTCAAGGTTCATCCATGTGGTAACATGTGTCATATTTTCCTTCCTTTTAAAGGATGAATCCAGGAGTAGGAAATGGCACTCTACTCCAGTATTCTTGCTTGGGAAATTCCATGGAAAGAGGAGACTGGCGGGCTACAGTCCATGGGGCCACAAAGAGTCGGACACAGCTGAGAGACTGAGCACAGAGTGTATAACCCATTATATATATATAAGTCACATTTTGCTTATCCATTCATCCTTTGAAGGACACTTGGTTGCTCCCACCTTCTGGCTATTGTGAATAATGCTGCCGGGACATGATTGTATAAATAAATACCGCTTGTCCCTGTTTTCAGTTTTTGTGTATATATTCCCAGAAGTGAAAGGCTGCACTATATGGTAATTCTAAAGTTAATTTTTTAGGATACTCCTTGTTTTTCACAGTGACTCTTCTTGCACTCTTGACTAAACCAAGTTGATCTTGATGAATCCCTTCAAATAGCTGTGTAATTTGATTTGCTACTATTTTCTTTAAGGTGGTTGCACTTCTATATATTTAGGAGTTTGAGGAAATATTTTTTTTTCTCATTGTCCTCTGCTTTGTTATTGAAGTTATCTAGTCTCCTGAAGCATATTGAAATACTTTATTTTTTGCTGTTCTCTAAAAGAGTCTGGGTACTATAAGATGAAAGTTGTGTCTCAGTTTTCAAATTTAACTGAGAAAGTTCAATAATATTCCTGTTTTATCTGTGATTATACCCCCTTTTTGTTCATCATGTTATTTATTTGTACCTTTTTTCTAGCTAAGTCCATGCCACCCAGAGTTTCAATGTTGTCAGCTTTCTGAGTCCATTTTTTTAAATCTTGCAATTTAGTTCAATTTTCACCTATTCTACTTTTCTACTATTTTAAGTCTGTAAATTTCCCTCAATTCTCCACTTTTACCACAAGCAGTTATTATTATCAATAGCCAATATTTTCAAATTTCCCTTAAGTTTCGGCTGATGGGTGTTTTTGGAATTTAAATATCTTTTAGTATTTAAGTGGCAAACATAGAAGTCTTTATCTTTTAATTTTATGCCATCTTAATTTTTCTTGGTTTAGTTGACATGTATAATGAAAAATTTTGAACTTCTTGACTGTAAATATGCTTCTTTCCTTGGCCTTTGCATTAATGTTGTGTTAGCTATTCATATGAGTCTTACATCACAGTCTTTTAAAAAATAATTTTCAAAAATTTATTTTTAGCTGCACTGGGTCTTTGTTGCAGTGTGCAGGTTTTAACTGCAGTGACCTCTCTGCTGCAGAGCACAGGCTTTAGGTGTGCAGGCTCCAGTAGTTTCAGCACACAGACTTCATATTTGTGGCACATGGGCTTAGCTGTTCCATGGCATGTGGATTCTTCCCAGATCAGTGATGAAACCCATGCCCCCTGCATTGGCAGGAGGATTCTTATCCACTGCACCACCAGGGAAGTTCCATCGCAGTCTTTTTGTATGACAGTAAGTCCCCTCCATATGAATGATTTCCGTTCCAAGAGCCTGTTCATAAGTCAAATTTTTTTGTAAGTCCAGCAAAGTTAGCCTATGTACCCAACAAACACAATTAGCTATATAATACTGTACTGTAATACATTCATAATAGTTATCACACAAATAATACATTTAAAAAAGCAAACACAAAAAAAGAAAACATTTTTAATTTTACAGTAGAGTACCTTGAAAACTATGGCAGTGCAGTACAACGGCTGGCATGTAGCAGCTGGCATCCAGTGAAAAGGCAGAGGAATTACTGACTGGAGAAGGGAGAGGAGGTGAGAGACGGAAGAGCTGAAGAATCATGAGCAATAGGAGTTGGCGGCAAGCTGCAATTTCATTTATGCCTGACATTGATGTCACGGGTTCTGGTTCCTTGTTGGATTCAATTCTGTCTGCCCTCTTGAAAAAATGGTCCAGTAACGTCTGGGTAGGGGCTCTGTTTTTCTCATCATGGATGATGTAGTTAGTAGTGTTGGATTGCATTCTGAACAGCTCCTGCAACCTTCCTGCACCGTCCTAAGTTCAGGTCTCGTGTCTCAAAAACTAACAGTGCCTCCTCAGAGAAAGAAAATCTTGCCATTTTCTGCATCCTGAATCTCTTTGGTTCTTCAGTTACTTCTTCATCTTCATCTTGGCTTTCTTGTCTCTCTTTGTCCTTTCTCTGGAACTCCGATTCCACAAGGTCTTCATTAGTAAGCTCCTCATGTTGCACAGCAAGAAGTTCAGTGAAGAGTCCCTCTTGCAGATCTAGCCTGAAACAAAGATACTGTACTACTGTACTCTATACAATGCTGTATACTAAAGTACAGAAAAGTACAACCTCTTGGAGTGGATGCACAGACAAGACAATGTATGTCAGACTCATGAACTTGAAAATGCATGTTCCCATCTTTGAAAATTAACAACTTGCTCTCTCCGCCCCGGGTCGCCGCAGCCTCCACCACTTTCGGGCCTAGTAGCCTGAAGCAAAAAAAAAAAGAAAAAAGAAAAAGATAAAAAAAAAAAACCCGAAAACGCTTTAAAAAAAAAAAAAAAGAGAGAGAGAGAGAAAGAAAAAGAAAAAAACGAATCCTCTTCGGAGAACCCGCGGGGAAGTCACTTTCGCACGCTTCCGGCTTGCCCGCCGCCGCCGCACCTGGGCGTCTGTCGGTCCCCGTCCGTCGGTCCGGTGGTGAGCCGCCCGCGCGCCCCCGTCCACGCGCCGCCTCCCGGTTGCGCCGCGTGGCAGCCCCCGCGCCCGCCGCCCTCGCCCCCTGCGCGCCGGCCTCCCCGCACCACGTGTCCGCGCTGCCCTTCGCCGGCCCGGCGTGGGAGGCGGCTGCGCGCTCGGGCCGCCCGGGGCTTGCCGAGTCGGCACCGACAAATATTTGGTTTCCCTCTTCCCCGGGCTGCTGTAATCTTAAACCGCCGGGAGCCCGAGGCCTAATTTATAGAGAAACGCGCGTCCCGGAGGCTGCCGTGGGCACCGCTGGGTTGCCTCTGGAAATTTTTTTGTCATTCGGAGGGGAGTCCCCGTTTTAATTTTTTTCCTTTTTTTTTTGAAATTGGGAGCTTCAGACCAGGACAGCTGAAAAAATTACAAACTCCCAGGGAGGGCCATATTGTTTTTGAGAGCCTTTTGTCTGCGGTTTGGCAGTCTCGTCCGAACCGTCCCCGAACTCCTCTCCGGCCCTCGGAGGCGACTCCCAGCTTCTCCGAGCTTCACTGCCACCTGTGAGCCGCGGCGTGGGCCACGGCTCCGAGCGGAGCCCCCTTTGTCCTGCGCGGTTCCTCTTAAGAAGTCCTCCTGGCGGGGCTCGGGGTGGTGGGGGCTGGGGAGATGAACGCTGCGGCCAGCAGCCACCCCATGGCCCCCCTGTACGTGGGTGACCTGCACTCGGACGTCACCGAGGCCATGCTGTACGAAAAGTTCAGTCCTGCGGGGCCTGTGCTGTCCATCTGGGTCTGCCGCGATATGATCACCCGCCGCTCCCTGGGTTATGCCTACGTCAACTTCCAGCAGCCGGCTGACGCTGAGCGGGCCTTGGACACCATGAACTTTGATGTAATTAAGGGAAAGCCGATCCGGATCATGTGGTCTCAGAGCGATCCGTCTCTGAGAAAATCTGGTGTGGGAAACGTCTTCATCAAGAATCTGGACAAATCTATAGATAACAAGGCACTTTATGATACTTTTTCTGCTTTTGGGAACATTCTGTCCTGCAAGGTGGTGTGTGATGAGAATGGCTCTAAGGGTTATGCCTTTGTCCACTTCGAGACCCAGGAGGCTGCCGACAAGGCCATCGAGAAGATGAACGGCATGCTCCTCAATGACCGCAAAGTGTTTGTGGGCAGATTCAAGTCTCGAAAAGAGCAGGAAGCTGAACTTGGAGCCAAAGCCAAGGAATTCACCAATGTTTACATCAAAAACTTCGGGGAAGAGGTTGATGATGAAAATCTGAAAGAGCTATTTAGCCAGTTTGGTAAGACCCTAAGTGTCAAGGTGATGAGAGATCCCAGTGGGAAATCCAAAGGCTTTGGCTTTGTGAGTTACGAAAAACACGAGGATGCCAATAAGGCTGTAGAAGAGATGAATGGAAAAGAAATCACCGGGAAGGTCATTTTCGTTGGCCGTGCACAGAAGAAAGTGGAGCGGCAGGCCGAGTTAAAGCGGAAGTTTGAACAGCTGAAGCAGGAGAGGATCAGTCGCTATCAGGGGGTGAATCTCTACATTAAGAACTTGGATGACACCATCGATGACGAGAAGTTAAGAAAAGAGTTTTCTCCTTTTGGATCAATCACCAGTGCTAAGGTGATGCTAGAGGATGGGAGAAGCAAAGGATTTGGCTTTGTCTGCTTCTCATCCCCTGAAGAGGCAACCAAAGCAGTCACGGAGATGAATGAACGCATTGTGGGCTCCAAGCCACTGTATGTCGCTCTGGCCCAGAGAAAGGAGGAGAGGAAAGCTCATCTGACCAACTAGTATATGCAGCGGGTGGCCGGGATGCGGGCACTGCCTGCCAACGCCATCTTAAGTCAGTTCCAGCCTGCAGCTGGGGGCTACTTCGTGCCAGCAGTTCCACAGTCTCAGGGAAGACCTCCATATTACACACCTAACCAGTTAGCACAGATGAGGCCTAATCCACGCTGGCAGCAAGGTGGGAGACCTCAAGGCTTCCAAGGAATGCCAAGTGCTATACGCCAGTCTGGGCCTCGTCCAGCTCTTCGCCATCTGGCTCCAACTGGTGTTGCCACAGCTGTGCAGACCTTAGCGCCTCGGGCGGCTGTTGCTGCCGCTGCTCCTCGGGCTGGCGCACCTTACAAATACACCTCCAGCGTCCACAGTCCTCACCCTGCCATCCAGCCCCTGCAGGCACCCCTGCAGGGGCCACTGACTGCCTCCATGCTGGCTGCGGCAGCCCCCAGGAGCAGAAGCAGAAGCAGATGCTGGGTGAACGTCTGTTCCCACTCATCCAGACAATGCACTCGAACCTGGCTGGGAAGATAACTGGGATGCTGCTGGAGATCGACAACTCGGAGCTGCCGCACATGCTGGAGTCCCCCGAGTCTCTCCGCTCCAAGGTGGATGAGGCTGTGGCGGTCCTTCAGGCTCATCATGCCAAGAAAGAAGCTGCTCAGAAGGTGGGCGCTGTCGCTGCTGCTACCTCTTAGACAAGGACGAACCGATTCAAAAGCCAAATAAACCCTCATGGAATTCAGCTCAAGGTTTGAAGACTTCCTAGCTTGTCCTATGGACCTTAACACCAAGAACCGCAATTGCAAATTTAATAGGTCATTTTGTATCAAAAGGTCAATTATGAAGCACCTAGAATTTTTCAATTTAAAGAATATATTCTCTGGGCTCTGATATGGCCCAGACAGTGTTAACTTTTTTTTTCTATTGTGGGTTTTGATTTTTTCCCCCCAGAAATTGGTTTTATTTGATGTACCCAAGTCTTAAGTTTCTCAATAAAGAAAAAAATCTCCATAAAAACAAAAAACAAAACAAAACAAAACAAAAAAAAGAAAATTAACAATTTGAAGGTTCGTATTTAGGGGACTTACTGTAGTCTCTTTTAGACTTCAGCATATGCTCATTCTTAAAAAATTAATAGAGTTAATCTTTTTTGTGCAGCTTAGGATTACAGCAAATTGACTGAAAAGTACACAGACTTTCCACACACTCCAAGCTCTTACACAAGCACACTCTCCCTCATCATTATCTCACACCAGACTCACAGTTGTTACAATCCACGAACTTACATGATACATCTTATCAGCCAACATCTATAGCTTACACTAGGGCTCACTCTTCATGTTGTACATTCTGAGTTTGGACAAATGTGTGATTTGTATCCACCATTGTATCATACAGAATCATTTCACTGTCCTAAAAATCCTCTGTGCTCTGCCTAGTCATCCCTCTTTGCTGGTCCCTGTGAAGGACTGGTCCTTTACTGTCTTCACACTTTTGCCTTTTCCAGAATGTCGTATAGTTGGAATTATGCAGTTTGTATCTTTTTCAGATTGACTTCTTTCACTATATGCATTTCATTTCCTCCCTTTAATGTTGTACTATTAAGAAGGCTGAGGGCCAAAGAATTGATGCTTTTGAACTGTGGTGTTGGAGAAGACTCTTGAGAGTCCCTTGGACTGCAAGGAGATCCAACCAGTCCATCCTATAGGAAATCAATCTGAATATTCATTGGAATGACTGATACTGAAGCTGAAACTCCAATACTTTGTCCACCTGATGGAAAGAACTCATTCATCTGAAAAGACCCTAATGCTGGGAAAGATTGAAAGCAGGAGGAGAAGGGGATGACAGAGAATGAGATGGTTGGATGGCATCACTGACTCAAATAGACAAGAATTTGAGTAGGCTCTGGGAGTTGGTGACGGACGGGGAAGCCTGGTGCACTGCAGTCCATCAGGTTGCAAAGAGTCGGATACAACTGAGTGACTGAACTGAACTGAATATAGTTTTTGTTCTATAAAATTGACCTCTAATCGAATGAGTGGTGTTTCCATAAGAAAAGAAAACTAAGGACATATGGACACACAGAGTGGGAGGCAGTGTGAAGACAGGCAGTGGCTGGAGTGATGCATCTATGTGCCAAGAAAGAACCATTTACTTCTAGAAACCCAAGAAGCTAGAAGAGACAAAGAAGGATTCTTCCCTAGATCCTTTGAAGAGGAGCATGATCTTTCCTACACCTTGATTTCAGACATCTACCCTGGAGAGTTGGGAGAAAATGCTTTTGTTTTAAGCCACCAGTTTCTGATACTAGGAAACTTAATACAGTGGTCATGAACTCATGTTAGCTTCCAAGCCCATGCAATTATCCCCTAGACTAGTAACTAATTCCTGCCTAGATACAAGAGAAGGATTGGAGGAGGTCAAGCCACAGGAGTCTGCTGACACATTTAGTTACAGTAACCAAATTGAGAGACAAGTCTTCTGCAGCATCCTCCAATAGGGATGCTTATGTTGATACAACCACAAAACCTCAAGACTCCTTGTCCTGTGAGATTTACTTAGGGATACTAATTAAGTTGTTTTTTTTCCCAAGACTTGGAGAGAGATGAGAATTTCTATTAAAAGTAAGCTGTTCATAATACCCTTATAATATCCTTTAGTCTCTGCTTCTCTATCATCACTACAAAAGTTTCCTCTCCATTTTCATTTTTATTCTCTATCCTCACTTGCACTTCCCATATCCCAATATTCACCCACTGTAATATGTATCATATAAGTCCTTGGATATATGTGTTTCTTCTAAAATATGTCACTTTGTGGATGATTTTGTCTTTAGTTTATGTAAATCTAAACTGTGCTTAGATTTATGTAAATAAATCTAAACTAAGTTATGTAAACTTACTTTATGTAAATCTGTTTTAGACCTCATTTATACTCAACTTTCTTTTAAAAAGATCCATGTGGGTTTTCATGCACATATAATTCATTGTTTATAAGTTGAATAAACTACTCTATGCACCCACCATATTTTATTTATCAGTTTCTCCAGTGATAAACACCAAGCTGCCTCCAACTTCCCACCACTGCAAGCAATGCTACTTATAAATATTCTCACCCCATGCCTTTAGGGACCTGAGTAAGCGTCCCTCTGTCGGCTCCATAAAGTAAGCTTATGTTTAATTCTGCTGATTTAGAGCTGTCAATTTATTCAGGGTGGTTCTAGCATTATGAAAACAAAGAAGGATCCAAATAATTTGTAGTTGTGCCATCATGGGGAGAGGCTTGACTCTGCCAGGTCCAAGTCACCCACATCCCAGATCCACTCTTTCCATGAGCTTGAACCATTCAGGGAAACAGAAAGCCCCTCAACTTCTTTGTTTTTGTGTGCAGTTGAAGCATGTACAGACTCAGAGAGATGGTTGTATTTATGCCCTGAAGTTTGTTAGTTTAAACACAACAATGCTATTCTCTCTATATATATATGTGTATATATATATATATATATACACACACATGCATACAAATGGCTCTATTGCTGGAGATTTGATAAAAGCAAAATATTTTCTCTCCATCCATAAATCTTCTTTACTAGTCTTATAAAATAAAAATCATGACTTTAAATGCCCTTTTATATCAAATTATTTGTGGATCTAATCTGCCTTTATTGGACATTTGTGTTATTTCCTCCTTGGAGTCAGCTGAGCACATGAACAGTCTGGTGAGGACCAGGGAGGGAGAACACGTGAGGACCGCTGAACCTCCGCTGTATGGTAGACATACATACATACATACATACATACATACATACATACATACATACAAACAGACATACATAGGGTGCTTTTCATACACACATAATCTCCTTTATCATCACAAAGGTTTTCTGTGCTGTTATCCCCCATTTTACAGATGACAAAATGAAAAACCATGCAGATTACAAAATGAAAAATCAGGTTCACATTACTGAAGTAGATAGCAATATCCACTTTTGTGTTTTCTGTTTCTATGAGTAGACTATAGAATTCCTCATGTGAATTAAATCATCAATATTTAAACTTTTGTAATTGGCTTACTTCACTTAGTATCCTAAAAGTTTATCCATATTGTAACATGTGACAGGATTTTCCTTTTTGAGGCTACATAGTATTTCATCGAATGTATATACCACTTATTCTCTATCCATCTGTCTGTGAAAATTTGGATTATTTATATCTCTTGGCTATTGAAAATAAGGTTGCAATGAATGTGTGCATGCTTTGCCGCTCAGTTGTGTCTGACTCTTTGCTACCCTGTAGATTGTATCCTGCCAAGCTCCTCTGTCCATGGGATTCTCCAGGCAAGAGTATTGTGTGGGTTGCCATTCCCTTTTCCAGGGGATTTTCCCAACTCAGAGATTGAATCCAGGTCTCCTGCATTGCAGGTAGATATTTTACTGCCTGAGTCACCGTGGAACTTTACTGTGCAAATATCTCTTTGAGATACTGCTTTGAATTCTTTTGGATATCTACCTACAAGTGTGATTGCTGGATAGCACTTGCATTTAAAAAAAAATTTCTGGAAGCTTGTCTTTGTTTGATATAGCAGCTGTACCATTTTGCATTCCCAACTACTTCCAGATTTTAAAAGAAATATGAACACCTAGGGACTAAATCCCTACCCACATAGTGTTCTTGTCTTTACATACAGGACATGAAGAGGGTAAGAAGTGAACTGTGGTTCTGACAGTTGTTAAATGGTTTGCATCCATTCTCACAATTTAATTGCTCTGGTGGCTCAGACGGTAAAGCGTCTGCCTGCAATGCAGGAGACATGGGTTCAACCCCCGGTTCAGGAAGATCCCCTAGAAAGGGAAATGGCAACCCACTCCAGTACTCTTGCCTGGAAAATTCTATGGATGGAGGAGCCTGGTAGGCCACAGTCCATGGGATTGCAAAGAGTTGGACACTACTGAGCAACTTCACTGGTTCATGCAAAGGTACATAGTCTGGGGAGTCAAAGAAGGGTTTGTTATTGTTCAGTCACTTGATTGTGTTCAACTCTTTGTGACCCCATGGACTAAAGCACTTCAGCCTTCCCTGTCCTTCACCATCTCCTGCAATTTGCTCAAATTCATGTCCATGGGGTTGGTGATACCATCCAACCATCTCATTCTCTGTGGCTCTCTTCTCCTCCTGCCCTCAATCTTCCCCAGCATCAGGGTTTATTTAAATGAGTTGGCTCCTTGCATCAGATGTCCTAAGTACTGGAGCTTCAGCTTCAGCATCAATTCTTTCAATCAATATTCAGGGTTGATTCCCTTTAGGACTGACTGGTTTGATTTTCTTTCAGTCCTAGGGACTCTCCAGAGTCTTCTCCAGCACCACAATTTGAAAGCATCCATTCTTTGGCACTCAGTCTTCTTTATGGTCCAACTCTCTCATATATACATGACTATTGGGAAAAAACATAGCTTTGACCATACAGACCTTTGTCAGCAAAATGATGTCTCTGCCTTTCAATACACTGTCTAGGTTGGTCATAGCTTTCCT